CATCCATCCATCCATCCATCCATCCATCCATCCATCCATCCATCCATCCATCCATCCATCCATCCATCCATCCATCCATCATGGACTCATATTCTATAACTCCCTTATGGTGTTGCTTTACCATAAAACACCTCCATCCCCAAACAATAATTTTTTTCACCTATATATTGTTAGCTGTTATTGCAGATGCTTGCAGATATTATTTTATGGTGAGAAATTATGGCTTACTCCTTTAAGGGAGTCCTGCCCCCTGTTGCTAAGAGACAGGAGGCAGGAGGAAAGAATTGCTGTAAAGATGATTGAATTTCTTCTATTCAGAGCCGACTGAGCAGGTAGATAAAAACTACATACGAAAACAGAAAAATAAACAAAAGCCTAAACATTTCCCAATCCCTTAAAGTTGTAGTTAGACTCGACAATGGTGCAAAATAGCATATATTTGTTTTTGAGACTTTGATGGCGGATTAAAAATCGGTATGTTTCACACTTGGTTTTGTCTGTTTTTTGAAATAAACAACATGAACAAAAAGTTTCTCAATATTAGCATAAAAAAATATTATTTTAGAAAACTACTCTTTATTACCTTAGATTATATATGTGTAGACAAACTACAGCCTTCCTATATTCATAATTTTTCATTTCATTTTCCCTCTAGATTAAACTGACATTGAAAACCAGCTTGGCATAGCAGATAAAATAAAGAAAATAAGGAATTTAGGACACATGAGTTGCTTTAATGAAAAACAAGATAAATATAGCAGAGCTAAAGAGACACACTAGTATTCAGCCCTAGATATATTTAGGATAAAAATGGTGTAATAGTAATTTTAAAGTTTGTGCATAAAAAAAACAAAAAATAAATAACCTTATCCATGAAAAGACAACATTATTGGTATATAATAAGATATTATACAGACAAAGATAAAATTAGTTAAACTGTATGAACACATCCTTAAATGACTGAGGACATGATCCTAACAGGAACAAGGAAAAAAAAGGCTTCTCTTGTGTCCTATTGAGTCGATGAGGCAGCCTCCTCTCTGGTTACCATGTGTAGAGCAAGTGACGTGAGCAGTCTCCATGGGAGGATTGTGTATGTGTTTCTTATTGCACATGCGCCAACACTACATGTATTTTCAGCTTTGTCACGTGCAGTGGGTGAGTGAAATACTGTTTCCATGGAAACAAGTCTACTTGTGTTCTCATATGCATTAGTGGTAGTGCTTTAAAGACTTATATATCACATTCTATCTCCTTCCTCTATTCAAAGAAATTATTCTAACAGTGGTGACACTGTTTTGTAGTATGAAAGAAATAGAAAAGCACCTAATTTATATCCACATTTTTAACAATGGTTTTTGTGACTCAAGAGTAAAATGCCCTAAACAGCTTTTTTGTAAGATTGAGAAATTACTCAATCACTTCTATTTTTCACAATTTTTAGTTTGACCTGTTTTGCATTATTTCTACACTGGATTCATGTAGAAGATTGCAGATTTCCTCTGCAATAGGTATGATACAAACACCGTAAGGAGTAATTTGCTCTGCTATAATTTACATAAATACACATTAGCTCTTCCCTAAAAAAAAATTTCGTCTCCCTTGCCAGGTAAGTTGTGTCCCTGCCGAGAGACCCTGTCAAAAAGGCAAGGCTGAATAGACATTGCAATTAGTTTAAGAATTAGTAAAACATATAGTGCAAACGGCTTTGTGCAACTGTCCCTTAATTTCTATGTGCACATCTGCAGACATTGAATTGACCACTTTGTGGCCCCACCCTGACATATCCCTCTTGGCAACCTTTCACACACCACAAATGGCTACACATCAAATCCATCCACCCTTATGGATCTGCATGGAAACACTCGCCTCTCCGAGCACTGCTTGAGTAGACATGATGATGATCCATGTTGTCATCTCATGTCTCTAAGGAGCATTATATCTCGTTATGCTTTGTCTGAGCTTAATCTGCTCCACATTAACCCTTACATACGATAGCCATGTGCACTTAAAATCCTATGCCATATGTCCCTCAGACATATGGCATATGCACCCTGTTGCAAATAATGATCATAAAACCCTTAAAAAAAAGAAAAAACTGTTACGTATAGTTGCTGCGGTTTTCTATTAACAGAAAGAAATGCTGGATAAATGTTTTCTTAGATATATTCAAAAGAGAAACTTTAAACTATTTTTGGTGTAAGTTAACCTTTGTGTCTAGTGTCAGGATTTAAAGGACACATATTTATTTACACTGTGGTATTTATCAATGTTTTTTTTTTTTTATTTGCATGCAAGTTTTTACACCAAGAGATAGTATTTAAATATCAAGGATTTTTATACTACTGTACAAAAAAGTTTGACTGTGACAGTAATCAGAGGGATTTAATGCTGTAACCATGAAGTCAGCATTCTGCCAAGTTCACAGGCATTCCAAAACTCTTTAAATTAGCAGTTTTATTTAAAACACAGACATACTACTCTTCACATGCATTTTTAAAAAAGTATGCCCCAAAGTATACAACAAGCATGTGTGCATGCTCCTCTATGCTCATGGTTTGCTTCTTATGGACCTTTAAATTCTCTTCTGCTTGTGTGTGGACCTGTTTCCATGGCTTTATGTCAACATTTGTCACTTTAAGGGTGGAAGCAACCTGAGAAAGTACACTGCTTATGATTGACTACTTTTCAAGAAATCCCAACTCTGCTGTTCTTTTGTGTAAGTGATGTTAGCAAAGCATCTTTGGGGTAATATATCTGCTCTCATAAATAGAATAATTGTGACTTTATATCCAACAGCCATCTCTGTCATCATGTGATGGTCACATAGTCAGTAAACCAAAACAAAACCACTTTTTCACTTTTTAACACAGTAGGATACATTTATTGGTTTGTTTATTTTTATCTTAACAATATTAGACAACATTAGTTCCAATTGTAGTGTGCACATTTGGTTAACTTCTTATATCTAATTCTGTCAAATACTTAATATTCTTTGTCATTCCTTTTCTGGTGTCGTGGAAAGTTCCTTTTACTGGGAGAATGCAAAGGCTGGCACACTTATTGACTGATTGATAGATTGGGTGGTACCATCTGGAGTTTCACTATGGGG